CAATGAATCTGATGAAACACCTGACCGTGCACGGAATCAATTTAAGAGCAGAACGCTGCTCCATGTTTGACTGCAAGAAGAGCGGACCGCAGCCATCCTCCTCTCAGCATTTAAGTCCGCCTGTTGACGTTACAGAGCCCGAGTGGCTTGGTTCAAAATGTCCACCACCACCGGACTCCGCTTCATCTGAGAGTATCAACAAGGGCACAGGTAAATTTACTTTATGTCACTACAATTTAATACGTGCATCACGAAGCGAGTTAAACTGTGGTGATGCTAACTTACGTTATTAGCGTTAGCATTGTGGCTAAATCAAAATCTAACTAGAGATTGACAGTAACAGATTAAGCTTAGCTTTTTAAAAGTGCTTATCAATTTATCAAAATGATCTTCTCACAGTAGCCTCTGACTGTGGTGTGAGGGAGACAAGGCCAACTGTGAATCCATTCATTGAAGAAACAGCTGGTGACCACGACAGCTCTTCTGATGAAGACTGTACAGCTGCAGTAACAACACTGGTAAAATAAAATTCTTCATACAAAGACATCTCGCCCCCCCACCCCGTTTCATTTTCCGAACAAAATTAACTTGTTGGCATCTATTGTCTTTCTTCTTCTTCTTCTTGTTTCCAGAAGAAGCCAAAGCTTTCTGCCCTTGAGGAGCTATTTGCTGATGAGAACATGGCAGCTGAAATACGACAAGAAGAGGCTTTGAGCAAGAGAAGATTGAGGAAGAGATACAAGGTCTGCCATCTACCCTAACCTCGGTGAATCCAGTAATCTGGTGGTGGAATGCAAGGGACAATATGCCAATGCTATCAGACTTGGCAACCAGGTACCTCTGTGTCCAAGCATCATCCACACCCTCAGAGCGCACTTTTTCTACTGCTGGGGACACCATCAGCCAGGAGCGGGCCTGTCTGTGTCCTGAGAGAGCAGACATGTTGATTTTTCTGAAGAAAAACTATTAAGTGAAAAATATGTAGCTGTGAATATCAGATTTATTTGTCACTTGTTTGCAAGTGTTCTTTTGCACTGGAAATTGTTCATTTGTATTTTTCTTAAACTGCCAAAGCTGAAAAATAAAACCTAAGATTTGAAAATTTTCAAACAATACCCAGCCCTAGGCATGGCGGCTTTTATTATGGCTTGGCGGTGCACCACGTTCATATACATGTAGCAGAAACCCTGCAGATGCAGCAGATATCCGAAAAATTTCACTCACTACAATAGAGTAGTGAAGTGGCGTACACTGGTGAAGTGAGTTTTCTGTAATAAAGTAGCCCTGCAGTGTGCAAGAGGTTTTTCTTTAGTCTATTTGGTGGGACTGGAAATCAGTCAAAGTGGAATCTAGCTGTATTAATCATTTTAAAGTCAATTAAATCATATTCAAATCAATATTCTGTGTTCACTATAGTTGGTAGTCAGGTTATAAGGGGTATAATCTACAGGAAACAGGTGGACGTGTAAATGAATATTCCTGCTCACCATGTTAGGGTTCTAATTTGCATAGCCACTTGCTCACAATGCATTATTCTTTCACTCATTGACATAAAGTGCAAGAAATATTTTTACTGTTGGGAAAACATTATGCCAGCGGTCCTGAAAAACAATCCTGCACCTTCAAAGTAATGACTGACAAATTGTTTTCCTTCATCTGTCTCTCATAACAGACGGGAGATATGAGCAACAGCGCCTCCCTGAGGACTTGATGCTCAGCCAGCCTTGGCTTTACTAATTCATTTCGCCTTTACTAAACAAACATTTAATTTCACCGGCATTCATCAGATGAGTCCCTTGTTCTCCAGTCAACATGTCAGCTGCCATAATGCTGAAGATTTTTTACACAGATGACATCTCTCACCTAAAATTAGCAGCAACTGCTGTCATCTACCCAGTCAAAAAAACATCCAGCGCACTGGGGGGCCTGCTGTCACTGATTTATCCTCAGTCAAAATAAATAGTGGGGAATAAAATTAGCAGCAGGAAATAAAGGGATGGGGATTTGGACTGGGAAAGTGGGATTGTGATGACTAATTCAACCCACCTTGTCACAACAGCAGCCTGCATCTGTTGACTGCTTTGCGACCCACACTAGAAGCCAACAATCTACCAAACAACATGCTATGGACACTTCTGGGCCAACCGCCTCCACCTTTGCTTCACCTTGTCAGGGATGGAAAGCACTGAGCACCTCTTTAGTTGGCTTGCATGCATTGGTAGGGACACAAACACACACCAAGGCATTAAAAATTCTTGCATCCTCACAGGCAATGAGCCATATGTGAATGCTTCACATCCTTTGTGTTTTCAAATGTTGTAAAACCCCAAATCAATATGAGTTAAGTACAATTGTGTAATCTGTTGAAAGACAGATTTTGATGGCAAATCATGTAAACACAGTGTTTAATTAAAAATAGTGCAAAGATAGTATATCAGATGTTAACACTAACAAAAATATATGCTTGTTTTATTTTGACACCAGTATCATGTTTCAAAAAGGTTTTGACAGGAACAACATTAAAAAAGTTGTGCGACACAAAAAAACACCTACAGTATATGAGCATCTATGAACATTAACATTAACATGAACCAACATTTGCAACCAGTTAGTAATATGCCCGGGTTTAAAAAGGGCATTCAGAGACACTGAATGTATCAGAAGTTAAGATGGGGTGGGATTCATTACTCTGTGAGAGACTGGGTAGGTAAGAAGTTCATCAGTTCTTCATCAATGTGCATGAGCATACCCTAAACTAATGTATATAATATCATCAAAGTCTCAGAGAGTCTGTACACAAGGAACAAGGCTGTTACTGATACTGGACAGCTGTGATATTTGGGCCCTCAGGCAGGGCTGCATTAAAAAGACATGACTCTGATTTTTTTTTGTTTTTTGATTCTTTTTCAATAAAAAAATTTTTGTGAACACAGTTTATTGCTGTGTCAAAAAATGTAGGCTCAAAGTGCACAAAGAAAGAGAGAACTAAATGTCATCCAGAAATGATCTGGGCTCAAGAAGAAGATTTACTGAGGAGTCTACATTGTCTGCTGTAAAAAGGTGACAGACCACCTGGCTTGTTATTGGTCCAAAGTCCAAAAGACAGTCAAAAAGACAGCATCCCTGATAGTATGGGGATGCGTAAGTGCCCAAGGCATTTAGAGTTTACACATCTAGACAGGCAACATTGATAACGGACAATAAATCAAGGCAGTGCCTTTTTCAGGGAAAATATTGTACAATACTGCAAGAAGACACAAAACTACAACTTGCATTCACTCCATGAGTTTGGGTGCTACACTGGCCTGCCCTGCAGTCCAGACGAGACCGCTACTGAAAACATTTGGCTTATCATGACACATAAAAATATACTGAAAAAAAAGAAACCCCAAACAGCTGAGGAGCTGGTATCATATGTCTGGCAAGAATGGGACAATATTTCACTTTGAACCACAGAACTGGTCTCCTCCTTTTCTTAATGTGTACAGAGTTTTGTTAAAAGACAAACTGATGCAGGTATAGTTTACATGAAACACATTTTTCAGTTTCATCATTAAATGTTTTATTTTAAATTCAGTATAGGCTTTCAACAATTTGCCAATCATCAAAATTTTACAGCTGCCCAACTCTTATGGAATAGGGATTATAAATCAGCCACTGACTCACACAGACTCAAATGGGTTGCACTGCTGTACAAATGCTTTGCAATGTCTCTCTCCTCTCCCATGTCTTCTCTTATTCTGTTTTGTTTATACACAAATGCCAACAATCCATCAACAGACCGTATTAGCATACCACCTTTATTCCCCTTCCACATCTCCCCAGGTCTTCAAAAATTTCTAGCCAGACGCCAGTGAGATAAATATCAACTCCTCTGTGGCAACATCTATTTAGCACAAGCACAGTCACACATATTTTCCCCTCGACTCCTTTTAAATGCTTTCTCTCCATAGAGTGGATTTCCCTATCTTCTGTATGGGCAGGCTAGTTCCCTTAAAACCAGGGGAGAAGCAGAGGTGAGCTGAGCAGAGCAGGGCTGCCTTCCCCTTCCTCATCGCCGCAGATAAGAACAGAGGTCTTCTTGTCCCTGCTGAATTCTATCATCTTGCAGGCCCTGCCGATCCGAATGCCCCACAACACCAGCCACAGCATATAAATGCACCCCATTCTTTGTGCTGTGTGTGTGCACATCAATTTGTGTGTGGATGGGGGGCATTTAGGGGAATATGTTCTCATAGTCAAGGCGTTTCCTGGATCTTTTGTGTTTAAGGACCCAATGAAAATATGACTTTCATCAGATTAATTTGATTCTAATGTTAAATGGGGCTTTTCTGACTGTTGGGATCACATCTGTATGCAACATAGACAGGTTGGCTGGTAAAATTTTCTTTTCATCTTTCGCTATTTTACTCTTCTAATCAAATTATTAAAGCAACGCACAATGATATCTCAAAAAGGATCCAGCTTTTCTGAAATTCCTCAAATCCCTGCAAAGAAGTAGATAAAGAAACAGGGGGAAATTTTGCATGTTGCAAGGACAGGGAAATTAACTCAGCCTGACTGAATAGCAGCCTCTGTTTCTTACATTCCACCAGAGGAGCTCTGAGTCCAAGACCTCTTCAATAGTATGGAGAATAGATTTAAATGCATCCACAACAGGTTTGACATCACTACACAACAAATATGCACACATTAAAAGCACAAAAACCTGCAGCATAAAACTGGCTGCAAAGGAAATCCTCACCTCCAATAACATGTCATCAATTAGATATGTTTTAGAAAATTGCAATTGTGATTTTGTCAATATTCTACTTAGTTCCATGAATGTTTATAAGCGCCGGATTACCAAAATAACCCCCACAAAATCCCCAAATACCCTCATTACTACCCCAATTTTCTGATTTTAGTGCTGTTTTTTTACATTCGGTGTCAATGACAGCTTTTGAGCACAGATTCATGCATACACATACATCCAGATTAACACTGCAATTTAAATACAGCACCCATTCTTGAGAGTCGGGACAAAACATGTCCTACATAGAAAAGTCTAATTTATTCAAAACAATTAAGAAATTCTAAATGTTTGACATACTCAAAAAGTTAAATCTAATGGATTTGTGTATACCAATCCTATTTTTTAGCACAGATATTTACTTTTTTGGGGGATATTTGTTTAAATGAAACGTCTGTGGTTAGAAGGTCCATGTTATTGCTTGTGTCCTCAGCAAGAGGTCACAATATTGACCAGCCCCAAAAAACTTTAAAAAACTCTATAATTGTGAAAACATATACATCAAATAAAAATTCAGGGCTATAAATATATAAACAATGAATGGCCTGAACATCAAATAGCTTTTTGCCTAAAAATCTGCCTATCAAAGTTGTGTCCTCACTTTCTGTCAACTCCATCAGATTATTCTATAAACCTCATTAAATCATGCAATATCATGGTCAGCTATATCCCTGAGCACCCCTTTTCATTTCCTGCTTCTGGTGAATGCAACACCACCACACATGGTCTGGTAGGTTTTACAGTTTTTGATATTTTAGACAAACAATGTCAATATTTGTATGGTCACAGCTGGACCATGTCAACACCGTCTCTCCATTATTATACTTTTTTTTAAACCATAGTGAGTTCAATTAAAGTATTTTAGTGAGATTATCAGGACAGCTAGCAACTGCCAAAAAAGTAGCTAGCTGCACTGTACAATAAATGTTTTGGAGGGAAAATACATGCCCTTACGTCAACTCCGTCAGACGTCAACTCCGTCAGATTTTGTGTCTGACGGAGTTGACATGTAAGCTGATGGAGTTGACAAATCCACCTATAACCTCTTAATGTGCTGACATTATGCTATTTTTGAACATGGTTAAGGATAACAATGTTATTCCAGGGTCTTATCTGCACATAAAAGTACATATATAGCATATATTACGTTATTTTACCATATACCTCTGTTTTGTAGAGTAGACCATGGGCAGGCTGTCTGCTTAATTATAACTGTCAAACTTTCCCAACACACACACACACACACACACACACACACACACACACACACACACACACACACACACACACCTAATCTCATTGATTGATTGATTAATGTACAATCCTAAAGGTGCAGTATGTAATTTTCACTACCTAAAATCTACACACTGGCTTCTTATAGAGTGCGCAAGAAGTTCTATGTTGCTCTTTTAAACCCCAGTGTAGGTGGGATACCAGATAGAAGAAAAAGGTTATTATTTTTACATTGTTAACTTGGACCCTCAGACCTTGGGCTCTATTTTTGTGTCCACCGGCGACATGGCGGAGGGTGGCGAACCCCGCGCAGTGGCATTTTCGTCTGGCGGAGCTCAGCGTACAGCCAGTTTGGTATTTTCGTGGACTGAGGGGCACCGAGGTCCGCCAAGCTGGGCGTGGATGTGTGGCAGGGTGAGGTGTCCACAGAATCAGCTGGTGCAGTGACATTTTCGTACTTGTTGCCGGTGTGTAAAGTGCGCTGAAAGCTCGCAGATTCAAACCTGGTCAGCTTTCAGCGCAGGTGGATCCGGATGGGCTAGTGGTATTTTGGGAGACCGGCGGCATATCGACCTCACCAGCAGGTTTCCACAGTGTAAGGAACATTTCCGTGCAATTAATAATCAATAACAACTAATAATCTGTGTCAGCACATACATTTAGATCTATATCGATATATTCTGATCTATATCTGATCTGATGAGCGCATTTGGCATGCGTTTGGACACTCAACCTGACCAAATTAACACAGCTGCTGAATCCGCATGAAATTGAATCAAATATCTTGTAAATAAACACACATGATGAAGTTAACAAGATATTTAATTTGTCTGCCCCCATTTCTAGCTTCCTCGTCCTCTTATTTCTCGCGCAGCTCAACCTGGACATGTCTCCGTGTCCTCTACCCGTCCTGCTGCTGCTGCGGCAGCTGAACAGATGATTTGTTCCAGTGATCAGATGAGTTTTTTACTTTAAGCCTACATACAAATATTATAATAATCAGTTTTGTGAGCCAAATTTATTTTATATGCCAACATCTATGAAAGAAAGAGCCAGGCCACGGAGCGCGATTTACACACAGATTGGTTCCGATTGTAATGCCATTATTGGAATTTATGTTGTGACCTTTGCGCACAACCCACCTTTGTCACGTCAGGTTTAAATATATGCAATTTAATGTGATTGTCTTTATTTGTGGAAAAGGGTGTTTGTCTTACCAGTGGGTCCAACATTACACACACCAAATCCATCTGTGCTTATATGAGACAGTGCGGAGGACGCCCAATGCAGCGCTTACAGTGACATCTGTTGAGGAGCTGCCTTCTGTCGCCATCGTGTGGCATTGCTGTCTTCAGACATCTCTTGATCTCTTTGACTACTTCACGAAAATGGTAATACGCCTCGCTAGTGGCGGATTCAAAGGCGAGAAGAGCTGATGTTATTGGTCAATACAGGTCTTGGCTGTGTTAAACCCACTCAACGCCCTCTCTCCTCCCTCCCTATGACCTACGCTGCTGGAGGGAGCTGAGTTAGGGGAGGGGGGATACTTATGCCGGGCTGCACAACTCACCAAAATACGAAAATGTGCTTGGAAACGCCTTGTCGGCGCGGTGGTTAATTGCATTAATGGTATGTTCAGTATGAAAACAAGGAGTTATTAGTTCTTAATCTATTTTCACCTATTGACCTATTGTCAATCGGTTTAAAAACACATTTGTTCAATAACATATGCGATGTCATCAACTCTGTCAGTTTCTCGTCAACTCCGTCAGGTGTTCGTCAACACCGTCAGATGTATGTTTTTCTTCAATTTTGGAGAAAAAAAAATTTGTTTCTTCAGTTTATATTGTTTAAGTAATAAAGGAGCATTGGCTCTACATCCTCTTGTGTCTTATTTACTTACAGAAATTGTTTTTATAATATAAAAATTAAAAACAAAGTTTGAAAATGCAACTATTTAGAAATCTTGGTTTTCAAAATAGTGTGAAATCACACATTAGGTTTATATATTATATTTCATGGCATATCAGAGTAACTAAACACTATTACAACATACATCAGAACTTTAGATTCTTGTTGGACTAGAATTATTAAAATTATATTCTTTTTTGTGTGTCTGATGGAGTTGACACAAATCCACTGTCTAAGGGAAACATGTTAATTTATAGAAAAAAAGTTTTTATTTAGAGCCTGTTCCTTTACGGGGTTAAATAGCTAAGACCTTTCTCTACAGTAATAAATAACTCTAATCAATATAGTGTGCATTCTCAAAAAAAGTTTTTTAGGAAGTGTTTTGTCCCGACTCTCAAGAATCCCTGACAGATTTAGAAATACTGTGGCAACACATTACATAATGAAACCCTGGATTTTCCGGTGAGTATGATATCCCTAGTAGATGCAAGAAATATCTATTGAAGCCGATCCTACCTGTTAATTGTGATCCACGGGTGCTGGTTGAATGCCAGATTCCCACCAATTTTTTTCAGACAGATTTCGTCCTCCTCTTCCTCGTCTTCAACACTAAAGCTTCCTTCAGCGGCGGTAAATGGCAAGCAAGCAAAAAGTCCCTCTTACTAAAAAAGAATAAAACAGAAATTTAAAAAAAAAAAAGTGACCCACGGTAAACAGAGCCTCGTTCAATCCAGCCGGGCCGGCAGGTGGGACTTCATGACTGGAGACAATGACAGTGGAGTGAAGAGCAAAAATAAACGCTGCACTACTGCATCACACACCGAATACAGCAGGATACAGCACGATTCCCTGTCCAAACAGGCTCGGCTCTGCTCAGTCTCCGTATTCTCCAGGACGGTGATAAAAATTCAGAAATGTCTCAGCTGACAGTCGAGTCTGCCTCAGGAAGAGTGTCTTTTTAACGACGCCTCAAAAACGGAAAAATGACCCCCGATAACCCGGACGTGTCTGCAGGGTCTCGGTGATTTTGACAGCCGGGAAGTGTCATCTGTGTTCACCGACGGTGGCAGCCACTCAGTTTTTGAGCATTTTTCTTGAACCTCGTCGATAAATCCTCAATAAATCCTCTCAAGGCAAACTCCAACACTACAGCCAATGGTTCAAGCCTCTGTTGGCTCGTCTCTTTCACGGCGGACACAGACTTTCTCGGTTGTCCGGGTAGTCTTGAGGAAGGATGCTGCCTCTGCTGCCGCTGCCGCTGTGTGGATACCGTGACCGTCTCAGCGAGATCTCGCACACGCGCGCACGTGCGCAACCTCGCAGGCATGCACGCACGCTCGCTCGTTCCCGGCGCGCGCCGCAGTGTCCTCCCTAGCAAGCTGGTCGCCCTGGCAACGCTTTCCTCTGACCTCAATATTGTCGCTTTTCTACAAAAGTGATGTGTCGCGTTTAGCGCAGTTTCTGTAGCTCTGACACGCAGCTACAGATACAAATATGATTTTTTCAGCTCTCCTGTGGGTAGGGTAACGTAGGGGTCGACTCCATCTTCTCCTGTGGTGGGATGTGACAAATTAGTGCTGAGGAGTTTCATTTTTACGGCATCACTCTCTTCCTCTCCTCTGCTCGCATCAAGCCGGGCAGATCTGCATCAGCATGACGTCAGAAGACGTTAAAGGGATACTAGCCCATTTATTCACCTTCTTGTGTTTGCCATATCTTACCTGTGTTTTCATACAGGCCAAAGACAAATGTCTGTCTTTTGCCTGCAAAAAGCAGATTTATTTTGAGTCCTCTCTTTGATCCTTGCCTTACAGGTTCTGCTTTGCCATTTATTTAGGAGAGACCAGCTACAGTTATAAAACTCTTTGCTTTAGCACCTGTAACTTACTAAACTAACAAAATATTTAAGCTGTAGTTTTATTTTTTTTATTGTCAAAAAACAAAATGAATCAATTTAAATATTCATAAAGGCATCAGTGGATGACTTTATAAAGCCTATATTGTGTTTCTTTGCTACCACTTTTACCACTCCTACGTTCTATTGTGACACATGTTTGGGATTAGTGACTATTAGACAATGAGGAAAGTAAAATTAGAGGCTTCAAAAAGAAGTTAGTGAAAAAAAATAATAATTTAAAAAATCCTGAATGGACAATCTCCCTATAATTGAACGTAATGATGTTTTCCCCCTATGGTCCACCTATGAACACACAGAGCATAGTTTTGTCTACTTATCCCTGCAGAAAGGTAACCATGTTACAGAGTCAGAGTCAAACTCTGGGTCCAAATGAGGAATTAAATTAATTTCAGAGTGATACCGCAGAAGATAAAAATGATAGAACATAATGCACTATGCACAATTACTTACTAATCATCCCTACAAGTCCCTTTTGGAACATTATATGTCTTTTTGGGGGTGGTTTAGTAACTTCAGCAGCTTGCACATTTGTTTATTTTATGTTTTACGTTGAGGGATAATAACCGTCTAACATGCAGCATGGCTGAGTCCCTGATCTCATCAATGCAGATGGTAATGGCTGTGCAGTGGCAGCACCTGCTCCTCTGGATGCAGGACAGCCACATGTCTGTCCTATTACTAGGGTCATAACATAGCCAAACATCTGCCTCAGTCACTCTCCCACAGCAGAGCCATGTATCCACAGTCAGTGGGCTGGGGCCTGCCAGGATTTCCCAGCTCATTTAATAAAACTTTGAGTTTTGCTCCTTCGTTGCTCATTTCATGCTGCTATCTGCTGCCACTTAAGCTGAAACATAATGAGCGCTCCTGCCAATCATATCTGAATGACGCCATGTGCTTTCAGGCAGCATCCAGATCTTATTGAAGAGAAGATTTACTGCAAAACATCCATGTGCCAGGGCTCATTCCGTCCCTCGTATAAACCCCAGGCGAGATAGACAGGCTGTTTCTCCACTCATGTGGGGAGCAAGCCTGTCGTCAATCAGCCAAAACATCATGTCAGCCAGTCGTGCTTTTTACCTTCGGACACATTCAGCAACCCGAGGGACACAGATGAGGCAGAGGGCGAGGAAGAGAAAGACCGCTACGGGGCCTCGATCTCGGCTATCAAGACAAATTGTCTTTGGTGGTAGATGTACATTCCCCAAGTGATATCCCATCAGGCCAAGGTGAGGAGGAAGAGGGCTTGAGTGTGTGTCTCCATGTACAGGGGGATGTTGATGTCCCACACTTGATAGACTCTGGCCAAGCATCGGCGTTAATGGTTCACCAGGGAGACCTGACAGCTGAGCCCCAGGTATACACACACTAAAACACACACCCCAACACACAAAAGCACCTCAGTGCTGCCTCACACAACTTCTCGTGGTTTGCCTCTGATGGGCTATGTTGATAAAAGGTAGAAAACACATGTATCATGACACACATTCCCCCCTATTTTCCCCCAACATGGAATAAGGACACACTTCCACTCCCCCACTCTTGAACACAGACACTGAAGGAGTGATGTATGGTGTGTTTGAGGCCAGTTTGCCTCTGCAGAGCCCGAGGGGAAGCTGTTGGTCTGTAGAGAATTCTTCCATAGTGATTTGAGTCTTCATAAACCTCCTGAGCAGCATTATAGAGGGTTGTGCATGGTTAGTGCTGTTACATACATAAGTGACCAGCTAAAGGACCATTTCCTGTGGCCCCAGAGTCCTGGGCCCTGAAAACACTGCCTGGCTTTCACAGGCCCTGAAATATAACACATCTAAACGCTGGCATTTAGGCCTGTATGTAATTGCATGTGCAAATAATTTATCCTTAACTATGAGAAAACAATCACAGGATTGAAGTTTTTTCCTAAAATTTATTTTCCCAAAATGATAGCAATTTACAACATGTGTCAAGTAAGGCAGAGATAAGTGGGAAAAAAAAGTTTGTTTTTGTTTTTTGTTTTTATCTAAAATTGTGTTTAAAAAAAAGTGTCTGAAAAAAAAATACAGTTAAACAAAATTTAACTTAAACTAAATAAATGCTGACCAAATTTATGACACCTTCCTTCAGTGGACTGAGCATACTGTTTGGATAACAGCACATAATATATCACAGAAAGTGTTGATTTGAATGCACTATAAATAGAAATATAATCCTAACTAGTGCTACCATACAAAGACTTGGCCTGCATGTGCAAACATATTTGAATATTCTTATTTAAACTTCTGTCTAACTCACTCAAAATACACAGTATTATAGGTACAGTACCAACAACATAAATCACTCTTTCTCTCTCGAAATACTGTTTGGGCACAACGTTGCTCAAATTTAGTACAGCTCTACATAATATATCAGTCCAAAGTAGTCCAACATATATAATAATACAATGTGTACAAATATGAATTCTTTGGACATATTACTACTTTACACTCTACAGGTAAGCCATAACTAACTCACAGTGCTATCTAAATCCTTATTTGTCACCCTTGCTATAAAAACAGGTTAACTGTGTTATCAACTTTGCTAGTCAGTGCCACAATAACTATTCACTCAAACAAATCATTGATATTTTCTTTACAATGGGCTTGAAATGCCAGTCATCTATAAACTGTAATGCTGCCAACCTCAACTGGCAAGAGTTTAAACTTGATAATGGCTTCTGCTATAATGCTGCAGTGATGTCCTACTACTCGAATATAAACGAAGTATGATGGCAGATGGTTTCCTTGTTAATTTGTTGATTAGAGACTATACTGTAAATTTTACCTGCATGTCAGTGGAGACAGAGGGGAATAATCTTAAATTAATGGACTACTGTTTATCAGTATCTTTGTACATCACATTTCCTCCATGTGCAGTTGCAATTCATTAAAAAAACTGAGTAAAAAGTGAAAAGCTTTCTTTAATTTCAGTCGTTACAGGTATGTGACAAGTTGTAGCTTAATTCATGGCATGTATCAGTCCAATGAATAACCTGATAACAATGGGGATAACTATTCATCATTCGGTTTATACAATTTCATACAACAGCTTTAAAAAAAATTAGAAAAGTTGCTTTCATTTACACATTTTCAAGCCTTCCCACGTGGCAGTCTGCCATTATCAAGAGAGCAGAAAACTGAGCGCTGCAGCAATAAGCTGATGGAAGAGTTAAAATGGGGGTGACCTGGGCCTCCACTTGTCCACTACTCAAAGTGAGCCCCCCATATACAAAGGTTATGCCCAAAGTCGACAGCCTGCTGGGCTCACTTCCATCCAGCATTTCCTTTTCTGTATATCATTCCCCACTCTCTCTCTCTCCCAGTTTCCTCCTCTATCCTCTCTCCTTATCCTTGGAAAAAAAGGCACAAAAGTCTGAAAATCAAAATTATGACAAAATGGTGCCACCTTTGTGGGTGTTTTTTTATTGTGTCGGGGAAGATAATACTATTGCAATTTGCAAAACATGCACAAAAATTTCTCCCACAGCAAGAAAGGAGTCCTTAAGTGCTCACACAACAAACAAATAAGTCACATGAAAGTCGATGTTGTGTCAAAGACATATGGAAGAAATACAAAGCAGTTGTAAACACAGCAAGCATTTGCGTCAAAAAGCAGCAAAGTGCTGATTTAGCCTGCGTTTAAGTTTACCAGAAACTATTCAAAAGCCGAAGTGATAAATGACAGAATCACAGAATTTACAGGATTTGATGGCCCACCTTTTTTAAGAGATAGATGACTAAAGAGTTTGCCAGGATATAATTCAAGTATAAAGAGACACAGCTGCAGGGTCATCCTTAATTGCTCATATTTACAGAACTTTGTTAGTGATATTAGTTTTTATCCTGGACATATAAACTTCTGATTTTAGCCGAGTACAGTCGTTTGGTTTAACAGTACAGTGGCTGGATGAAGACTTAATCACAGCAAGAATATTGAGATTGAGCATCAGTTCAGAACATGAATCTACAATACTTTTTTCACTTATAGCAGACTATGACTGAATTATGGCTCAATTTGTCTCATATACACATGTTCATTTTGCCGTAAGCCATTATCAAACATTTAAACATGCCTGCGGATTTATTATTCCATTAACAATCAGCTCCAACAACTGCGTTCTGAGATATTTCAATCAAATTATTTATTTGCCTGGGGGTGTTTGCAGTAATATGTCACTGCAATCTCATAAAGCCATTAACCTTTCTGTCTAAGGCAGAAAGCCCATTTTCTTTACGCTTAATTTACCTTTCCTGCATCCTGACCTATTGAGCATGCCCACATATCCCCTCAGTATGCAGACCACGACAGCCTGCCTTTCTCAGATGATGACATAGAGGACCAAAATGAAACAAGTTGCTTGTCTAGTTTCAAGATTGATGTGATCTATGCACTCACCTGAGCACATGTATGAGTAATTACAAACAGTTTTTCCACCGGAGAAAGAAAAAAAGCCTGCAATCATGTCAATCCAAATAGCTGAGAGGTAACTCAAGCTAGGAGACGCCAAAAGCTTTTAATTCACTGAGCTATTTTGGCAAAAAGAGGCTGGCGGGGGGACAGTTGGATGCAAGCATTCCAGGAGAGGCTAAATAAACTGCAAGGCACAAAAGCACATTGGTAAAAAAAAAAAAAAAGTGCTCGTTTTCTCCCAGTGTGATCCAGTATGACACTGGAAGTTTAAAATCTGACTTGCTCCCCTTACTCACTGTGTTTATTTTGTTCTCACCCT